ATTTAATTTTTAATTTAAAAAAATATAAAAGTATATTGAGAATCCATGCTCAAAATATACTTATTGAGGTGTGTGATCAAAAATATAAGAAACCAATGGCCTCAGGAGTGTGATTTTATTAATAACTTACCCCTTGGGAAGATAACATGTTTTCCTATAGCATATTATTGATTCTAGATTCTATCCCAGGCCTGAATTTTACCTAACTCAATTTCTTTCATACAGAGATTAGCTAGCTTTATCCTTATTCACCTGTGTCAAAGACTTCTGATGTTCACCAAACTAATTTTCTTTTCTTAAGGCACATTACTAGTCTATATTTCTAAGTCCCGCCTATAGTTAAATGTGGTAAATTAATTATGAGAGAAAATGGTGTGTACCACTTCCAGCCTGGTCAATGAAAACTGACTCATGTTTGGTCTTCCATCTCCTCTTCTAGTAGCTGGATATCTATGCCTAATGTGGCCCAGGAAGCCAATGTAAGATGGCAAAACCTCCATATGCCAGGATACTGGAATGACCCTGTAGAGCAGGACTCCCTAACACAAACATGGACCCTGAACTTCCTGGAAGTATTTACATGAGGAAATAATTTTCTATCGTATGTGAGCCATTACACATTCTGGGCCTATATGTGATAAGAGTTAGCCTATATATTAATATACTACATGGGTTTTCATATGGACTATGTAGATAACTGGACAGAACTAAATGATGATAACATGATAATGATAACATTCACACAGTGCTTCATGATATACAAAAGCATTTGACAAACATTATCTCATTTTACTCTAACATGTTTATAAAGTATTATCATCCTCCTATATCTAAGGGTTTTATAGAAAAATGTGTTCAGTTCCTGACACATAGAAAAGATAATAGGTCTTACCCTAACCTCTAATTTTAAAAAGACTACTATTCCAATAAGCAACTTTAAAAACAGGTACAAAAACAAAGAGGAACTACTTCTTAAATATGTTATTAAGATATACATATGACACACCTTTTGTGTAATGCAATCTAATGTCCAGTAGTAGGAGTTCTAAATATTTTTCTTTCACTCCTTTTAAATTTTAAGTTTCTATCACCTGTAGCACAGGGTGATAAGCTGGCTTCCCTATGAAACCAGGCCCAAGAGCACTGGGAACATGCCACCTCATTTGAGAAAATTCTCTCTTGATATTAGCAATATCACAGCTCCACAGCCAAACAAGGCATTGTAATACCTAAGACAGCTATATCAGCAAAAGAAATGAAATATATTTATAGTTACAATATATAGGTAAGACCTTATGAATTATAGGATCAATACAAAGCAGTTCTTCCTTTCTGACAATTGAAGACCAAACTGCTTAACTTAGCATTCAGTTCAAGAGTTTTCACAATCTCATATCAATCTACTTGTAGGCAGCCTCTAAAATGGCTCCCAGTGATCCCTGTTTCATGGTATGCATGCCTGTTGTATTACCCTACCTTGTTTTTGGGCTGACCCTCTTGACTACTTCTACTTCTAATGAATAGGATATGGCAAAAGTGATAGGATATCACTTCTGAGATTAGATTCTACCTTTCTCCATCCCTCCCTGCCGCTTTCCCTCTCTTTCTCCCTGTTTCTGCCCTTGCTTCCATGTTGTAAGTAGCTTTATGGAAAGGCCTCCATGGCAAGGAACTGATGTCCCCTAGCAACATCCAGCAAATATCTAAGGGCCAACAATAGTTACATGAGCATATACTGAGCCCAGAAGTATATCCTCCTCCAGTTAGGTCTTGAGCCAAATGCAGCCAAGGCCAACATTGACATTGAAAATCTGATTTTACCACTTTACTGCCCAGCTCTTGTTTTTCTTTGACAGTGATAGTGCTGTGACTCAGATAGAATCAGATTCATCACTGGACTCCAGAACACTCACCCAGGACCTCAATTTTTGTGCATTTTTGAAGCCATTGTCTTAACTCCTGATTAATTAAGGATTCATTGGTGAGTCCAACTCCTAAACCATTGTTCCATGCAAATGTCCACTGAAGTTAGTAGGGACAGATTTTGATTCTTAAGATTCTGAGTATACTCCAGAATCTGGTTAGAGCCTCATATAAGTGGAGGCTGGATTAGATTTCCAGGCTTCTCTATTTGTAAGAGGCTAATCTGTAAGGAATAGAAGCTATGTTTGAGTCCTAAGTTTTCTGTTTAAGTATAAAGGTACCAATAGTTAAAAACATGGGACTTCTCAGTTGACTGAAAACCTTTGAAACCTCTTCCTTCCCATCACTAATCCTTCTCCTTCCTCTTTTTATCACCTTCAATCTTCACTAGGGTTCTCTTGAATCCTTTGGTATGTCTCTCTTTAATCACTAACCTCCCTCATCCTTCTGCCTACCCTGCCAGGCTTTCCCTTTCTGACTTGAGCCCCTCGGTTCCCTATAGTCACTTAAACATTAAGCCCCCATACTCCCTATGAAGAGATCTCAGGAGACTCAGACACCCAAATGCAACCATTTCAGGCTGAAAAGAGAGAAAGAGGCTATATGAAAACAAAATTAGTGTTTTGTCCACTTGATGAGCCAGATAGCCACTAGACATCTCAGTCACTCACCTAAAACTTAGTCCACACCTCCATTAGATTACAAATCAAGGCAAAAAGTCCCTTCCACAAATATTGACAAACATGTAACTTTAACTTGTCCCAGTTGCCAGAAACACAATTTGAATAAAAATATAAAGTTGAAAAAAGATGAGAGCTAACTCTTCCATATAAACCACTTGTTTGTATTACGTTTTACTGATTCAAGTCTAAAATTTTAGAATGAAAGCATTAAGATCTCTTTTTGCATGTTTGTATGTTTGTTTATATGTGTGTGTTTTATATACGTGTGCTATTTTTTCCTCCAAATGATATCATCAAATTACTCGATAAAATCTCTTAAAGGAGTTCTATTCAAATTAGCTTAGAGATGAATGAGTGCCATTATAAATTAAGTATTTCTAAGACAACTCCCAAAAATACAAAAACTAACACAAATGTTTTGGTGGTTTTTTTTTTTAGATTCATATGATCTGGAATATAAATTGGTAAATAAAGCTAGTTTTAAAATTGTTGTTAAAATAAAAGCAGGCATATGCTGAGATGTCAGCTTTAATACATGCAGACATAAAATTTTTTTCTGCCTAAGTTCACTAGTCAAACAAGCTTACATTATAGCTGCTAAATGTTTACAATTATAAATTATAAATCTAACCTAAGAACAAAATATACAATAAAAATGGATTGCTTCAAAATCATAGGATATAAAATCAATGCACAGAAGTCTGTTGCATTTCTGTACACTAATAATGGAGCAGCAGAAAGAGAAATCAAGGAATAAATCCCACTTACAATTGCACCAAAAACCATAAGATACCTAGGAATAAACCTAACAAAAGAGGTCAAAGATCTGTATTCTGAAAACTATAGAACACTTATAAAAGAAATTGAGGAAGATACAAACAAATGGAAAAACATTCCATGCTTATGGAATGGAAGAACAAATATTGTTAAAATGTCTACTATACAAAAACAATGAATCATGGATCACTACATCAAAAACTAATGATGTATTGTATGGTGACTAACATAACATAATAAAATTTTTAAAAAAAATGTCTATGCTACCGAAAGCAATCTATACATTCAATGTAATCCCTATCAAAATACCACCAGCATTTTTCACAGAGCTGGAACAAACAATCCTAAAATTTGTATGAAACCAGAAAAGACCCCGAATAGCCAGAGGAATGTTGAAAAAGAAAACCAAAGCTGGTGGCATCACAATGCCAGACTTCAAGCTCTATTACAAAGCTGTGATCACCAAGACAGCATGGTACTGGCACAAAAACAGACATATAGACCAATGGAACAGAATAGAGAGCCCAGATATGGACCCTCAACTCTATGGTCAAATAATCTTCGACAAAGCAGGGAAAAATATGCAATGGAAAAAAGATAGTCTCTTCAATAAATGGTGCTGGGAAAATTGGACAGCTATATATAGAAGAATGAAACTTGGCCATTCTCTAACACCATACACAAAGATAAACTCAAAATGGATGAAAGACCTCAATGTGAGACAGGAATCCATCAAAATCCTAGAGGAGAACATAGGCAGTAACCTCTTTCAGATCAGCCACAGCAACTTCTTCCAAGATACATCTCCAAAGGCAAGTGAATCAAAAGCAAAAATGAACTTTTGGGACTTCATCAAGATAAAAAGCTTCTGCACAGCCAAGGAAACAGTCAACAAAACAAAGAGGCAACCCACAGAAGGGGAGAAGATATTTGCAAATGACACTACAGCCAAAGGGCTGGTATCCAAGATCTATAAAGAACTTCTCAAACTCAACACCCAAAAAACAAATAATCAAGTCCAAAAATGGGCAGAAGACATGAACAGACACATCTCCCAAGAAGACATATAAATGGATAACAGACACACGAAAAAATGTTCATCATCATTAGCCATCAGGGAAATTTCAAGTCAAAACCACATTAAGATACCACCTTATACCAGTTAGAATGGCAAAAATTGACAAGGCAAGAAACAACAAACTTTGGGGGGTTGTGCACTTCCTTTTAAAATCCAATTTAATAAGAATCCTAAGTCAATTTAGCAACAGTGCCCCATTCTCCATAATTGATCTCCCTCAATACTTAAGCAGGTTCCTTATCCTTCACTATCCCCCAGGTGATAGCTGATCACACTTTTTTGAACACTACATCAAAAACTAACAATGTACTGTATGGTGACTAACATAATATAATAAAATTAAATTTTTAAAAAATAAAGTAAGGATTTTATTTATTTATTTGACAGAGAGAGAGAGCACAAGCAGGGGAAGTGGGAGAGGGAGAAGCAGGTTCCCTGGTGAGCAGGGAGCCAGACGTGGGGCTTGATCCCAGAACCCTGGGATCACGACCTGAGCCAAAGGCAGTCACTTAACCAACTGAGCCACCGAGGCACTCCTATAGCTGATCACTCTTGCCTATCTTTGGCAAAGATCCTGTTAGGTCAGTTCAGCCAGAATCTCCATTACACCCCCAATGTTTCCTCTTAGTAATTTTCCACTGACCACCAACCTACTCTTTGGCTATAAATTTCTACTTCCCCATGGTGTATTAGGAATTGAATACAGTTCTATACTGAGGTCTTTTTTCTCCTATTGCAATGGCTTTGAACAAAATCTGTTTTTACCACTTGACTGCCCAGCTCTGATTTTTCTTTGATTGCATCTTTGTGAGAGACCATGAACTAGAGGATCTAGCTAAGCCTTCTTTCTGGATTTCTGACTCACAGATACTATGAAATAATACATGTTTGTTGTCTAAGCTACTAAGTTTTGGAGTAATTTATTATGTACCAAAAGATAACATAGTCCTTTTTGTTCTTCATTCATTTTTTAATCAGATGAATTTTAAGAAACAAGGGAGGGAGAAACAGTGTTGAAAACAAAGAGAGCTAATTATGCAAAATCATGAAGGTGACAGAAAACATAGTGTGTTCCATGAACTTAAGGAAGTTCAGTGTAGCTAAAGCATAAATATATGTTTGTACGTGTGTGTGCACACTCATGCTTATGAAGTCATGTGCAGTGAATGGGTGTGTGGGGGGATGAGGGCTAATTAAAAATGAGGCTGGCATCTCAAGAAAGGACCAGATCTGACACCTTAACCCATAATTAGGAATTTGTACTTCAACCAAAGAATAATGGGAACCATTAAAGATTTTAGGCAAGAAGGTTAACGTGAACAGATTTCAATTTGAAAGATGACTAAACATCAACATGGAGACTGGACTAAAGACAATAAATTCTGGACAAAAGGACAGCAATTAGAATCCTGGTAGCATCCTGGGAATTGCCAGTGAAACCGGAAAAAAAGGGCAAAATTTTATGGCTAATAATTGGATTGATTAAAAAAAAAGAAGAGACAAAATTGATTCCCAAGATTCTAGTTTCAGCAATTAGGTGTATGAGGATGCCAGGAAATTGTGACTAGTGGGAGAAGAAGCAGTCTAAGAAGAAAGCAACTAGTTCCTTTTAGGACATGATGAATTCTAGATGCTGTGGACCATTTCAGTAGGTAAATTCAGTAAGCTGATAGATAATAGGTCTGGAAATTAAGTGATATTTGGGTTTGACACAAGATTCATTTGGCACTTGAAGCCATAAAGGTATATAAGCATGCTCAGAAAGAATATGTGGAATAAAAAGAGAATCCAGGAGAGAAAACTCAGAGAAACACCAACAGTTAAAAAATGGGCAGCACAAGAGGAGACCAAAACACAGAAATATAAAGAAAACCAAATAATTATTCTGTCTCTAAAACAAAACGCAGACTTCATTAAAAATAAATGGTCAGGGGGCGCCTGGGTGGCTCAGTGGGTTAAGCATCTGCTTTTGGCTCAGGTCATGATCCCAGAGTCCTGGGATAAAGCCCCACATCGGGCTCCCTGCTCAGCGAGGAGTCTGCTTCTCCTTCTCCACCTGCACCTCCCCCTGCTTCTGTTCTCTCTCTCTCACTCTCTCAAATAAATAAAGCTTTAAAAAAAAAAAAAAAAGAAGAAGGAAAGAAATGGTCAAACATGATCAAATAATGCTAAGAGGATAAGTGAGATAAAACTATAAAGCATCCTTCAGAATAGGATCAAGTAAATTTGTTGTGACCTTGGCAAAAATAGTTTTAATATAGTAGTTGGGAAAAAAGGTTACAGTTAAGTGAAGAATTACTATAAGAACATGGAAACAGTGAGTATGAACAACTTCTAATCCATCAAAATCCTCAGTAATGATTCCTGTTTCATTATTACCAGAGCAGGCCAATCCAAATAAATGATATTATATACACCATCCATGCAAAGAACCTAGTATATAGTAGGTGTTTTATAAGGATTGTTAAACTGAATATTTAATAAGAGAGGTGCGTGTTAATCTATTGAAAACCACTAAAAATAAAAATCACCTGCCCAGGTTGCAGGTGATGAAGTTACCTGGTAAAATGCTTCAGGTAATGAAGTTGCTCTTTCAAAATCATCTTACTTTTTAATCTAACATTTTCTATTTAACTCGTCATATATGACAGCCTTTATTTTGGTTATGGGGAAAATCCTGGGAAATAAAAAAACACTAGCCAATTAACAAAGTGAGGGTTCAAATGCAGCCACACAGACAGGAAAAGAAGATATCCTGACATGATTTTGAAGCCAGAAAGACCTAGGTTTGAAGTCTAATTCAACATTACTATGATGTTGCATAGTTAGTGTTTTTAGGCTCCAGTTTCATCTTCAAAATGGGGGTGCTTATAGCTATCTTACTACTTATTGTGTAAATGATTGGCATCTATTACTTATTGTGTAAATGACTAGCACATATACATAAAATCACCAGCATATTTTATAATGATAGAGGATATAGAATGCCTAGCACATTTTAAATTGTGTTGCCACACTTTATCTTTGTTTTAAGCCAGTTCACAGAAACATGCATTTCAAAAATTTGCTTTTGTATGCAATTCAGGGCAAAAAACAAAAACAAAAAAACCCTAATAACCTTAATAATTTCTTTTTCACTAAGAGCAATTTTTTATCTTTCCAAGAAGAAACTGACATAGTTTGCAATTAAAATTATATACAATGGATTAAATAGATGTTGGGGATTAAGGAGTGCACTTGTGATGAGCAGCAGATGTTATACGTAAGAGTTGAATCACTAAATTGTACACCTGAAATTAACATTACACTGTATGTTAACTAACTGGAATTTAAATAAAAACTTAAAAAATTATCTACAAAAAAGATTAAAATAAGGATAAAATTACTGTGTGATGATAGTCTCCTTACAAAAGCTAGAGTATTGGCCTTTAATTTTACTTTATTAATTTCCCATTTGCTAGTTTTACTATGCTATCTCTTATACACATAAACTCTCATTCTGAAAACAAGAAGGAAGGACACTAAAGAATATAAAATATTAAAGAAATGAGGGACCTGATAATAGCTATCCTGCTAGAACAAAGACAAGCAAAATTATATTCTTGACAGTTTTGCTTTACTTCTTGAACTTTTTCCATTACTTGTTAATAAAGTTGCTTATGTGTAGACTGTTCTTTTCTTCTAAGGCACAGATTAATAAATCTCAATGTTCGGGCACCTGGGTGGCTCAGATGGTTAAGCGTCTGCCTTCAGCTCAGGTCATGATCCCAGAGTCCTGGGATCGAGTCCCACATCAGGCTCCCTGCTCCTTGGGAGCCTGCTTCTCCCTCTGCCTCTCTCTCTCTCTGTCTGTCATGAATAAATAAATAAAATCTTTAAAAAATAAAAAAATAAAAAAATAAATCTCAATGTTCAAGAAAGAGCTTCTGAATCCACTGCACAACACAAACAAAAATACATTTTTTCAAGAATTTTCCCCCACAGATAATAGCTACACTTGCAGCAAGCAAAGCATAATACATACTTAACAAGTCACTATGTTGTACACCTCAAACTAATACAACATTGTGTGTCAAATGTATTTCAGTAAAAAGATAAATTTGAAAATGTTTCCCCATAGTTTAGCATTTATATTTAATTTTGTTAATTTATAGCAAAAATCTTTAGTCTATGAAATCCTATTTTTTTCTGGCTCTCAAATCTCGGGTGTTTATATCATCATTCAAAACCAATACATATCTAATTTATAAATTTGTATTCAAGACAATGAATTGCTATAACCAAAGGTAAAAGACAAAAGGTCCAAGCAAAAAAACAGGGCAGAGTTTTTTTGAAATAATGTATACCAATGAAGTAAACAACAATATAAAAGAATCTTACAGCACAGATTACTGTTTTTCTGTCTCTACTGTTTTCTCTATTTCAGTAACTTCCTTACCTGTAGATGTTCTCGGATTTTAGAATTTGTCTTTTGTCCACCTGAATCTGTAACTAGTGATTTCCTTCTTCCTCTCTCCAATGGTATATCTTTTGAATCTTCAACTTTTATTTTACTAATACCCATTTCCATTGTTGTCTTGGTCTTCCCTTCACTTTTAAATAATTCTTTCCCTTGATTTAGGAAATAGTCAAGTTGATGCTTCGCTCTTTCAGCTTCCTGTTTTTAAAAAAGTAATGGTTTATCAAGCATTATGTGTGACATTTTTCTGTCAATATTACAACTTTCAGGAATAAGAATATATTCATGTCCACATTACTTCTCAATTTTATTTTTACTAAATTGGAGAAGCTGAATTAAACCACTGGTATAATCCATAGTTGCATTAACCCATAGGTTAAAATTAAAAACTGAAGAAATGCCTTCCACTTTGAGGGCTATTTTTATATCCCAGGAAGCTCCCCTATTATTTTTTTTAAAGCTCTAATTATTAGAGGGGCATAATAAAACTAAATAAAAGGTATACATTAGAAAAGGTGATAGAATGTAACCAAGGTAATTAATATCTATAGTATCAAATAAAAGAAAATGTGGAAAATAATTTATTTCTTCTAGAATATAAGGTTTTTAAATGCCACTTTTAATAATTTTTTTCTTAGATCAACAAAAATAAAGTTCACAAATAATCTCACCACAAACAGAAAACTCACTGTTAAGATTTGATATATATCCTTTTTCATTATTTCTAAATATAACTAGTGCATATATGTATTTTTAAAATTTTTAGGCTCCTACTATACATACATGATATGCTTTTTTTATTAAATAATGTCATAGATATGTTCCAATGACAATAAATGTACATCTAAATCAGAATAGCTAATAGAAGGACATTTAATAGTATACTTTTATTTAGCAAATTTCTTATTAGGGACATATTGGTAATTTAAAAATTTTTGCTATTAAAATTTTTTATATTATATACTTGTACAAAATCCCTGTACACTCTTTTCTTCTTTATAAATTTTTGTAACTGCAATGATTCAATGAAAAGCCTATGTTGTCCCAAAACTTTTGCTATATATTTTCTTCCAGAGAAGTATTAATTCATAGTAATAGAATTATATAAAAGATTACTTATTTTAGCATATATCTGCAAATATTAGACATTTCTGCTCCTAAAATTTTTACTGAAATGGTAAATAAAAATAAAATCTATCGCACTGTCATTTTAAGTTGCATTTATTTGATAACTAGTGAGGTTGGATATATTCATATGCATTTATTGCCCTTGTGTGTTTCTAAGCTATGACCTGCCTGTTTGTATCTATTCGGGGGAATATTTAGGGGAAGGGCATTCATATTTCTTATAGATTTGTAAAAGATTGTCATATAAAACACTCTGTTAAGAATTTGCATTTATCTTTATATCTAATGAATCTTTTACCATACAAAAGTTTTAAATTAATAATAGCCAAATATATTGCAATATTCCTTTGCAATATGATGCTTAGAAAACCTTGCTCTAGCCAAGACCATATAACTGTTACCCAGTGTTTATTCTAACGTCACACTTCATTTATTAATTTTGGATCCTAAATCAAGCTGCAACTTATTTTGATGTATGTCACAAACTATTACATGAGAACTACTTTTTCATAGTAGTTTACTTTTTGTGACTATTTTGTCTTTCTATAAATAAGTTTCAATAACTAAAACTATAATATACTAAATTATTACATTCCTTTGAATCTGTTTCTGGATTTTTTATTCAGAACCAAATCCAGAACCACATTGCTTTAGTTATTATAGTGTGTTACATTACACATTGATTTTTGAATGACCAAATCCTTATTATTCTTTTGTATAGTCACCAGTTTCTTATCTCAATATATTCTGTAATAATTCTGTTAAATTAAAAAATAACTCAATTTACATCCAGAAATAAATTTCTTTAAATCTATATATCAATTTGGAAAAAAGTAGAAAATTGAAATATTTATAATATTGAACCTTCAAAACCAAAAATATAAATTTCTATTTCTTCACTATTCATCTATATCCCTCAGTAAAGTATGTTTTTCTTCATTAAAAAAAAACTCTGTATTTTTTGTTAAATATACTACTCGAGTATTATAAATAGAATCATCTCTACACATGAAAAAATGCTCAACATCACTTGGCATCAGGGAAATACAAATCAAAACCACAATGAGATATCACCTCACACCAGTTAGAATGGCAAAAATTAACAAGTCAGGAAACAAGGAATGTTAGCAAGGATACAGAGAAAGGGGAACTGTCTTACAGTGTTGGTGGGAATGCAAGCTGGTACAGCCACTCTGGGAAACAGTAGGGAGTTTCCTCAAAAAGTTAAAAATAGAGCTACCCTACAACCCAGCAATTGCACTACTAGGTATTTACCCGAAGGATACAAATGTGGTGATCTGAAGGGGCATCTGCACCCCAATGTTTATAGAAACAATGTCCACAATCCAAACTATGGAAAGAGCCCAGATGTCCGTTGACAGATGAATGGATAAGAATATGTGGTGTATACATATATATACATATACACATACATACATACAGTGGAATATTACCCAGCCATCAAAAGGGATAAAATCATACCATTTACAATGACATGGATGGAACTGGAGGGTATTATGCTAAGTGAAACAAGTCAGTCAGAGAAAGACAATTATCATATGGTTTCACTCATATGTGGAATTTAAGAAACAAAACAGGATCATAGAGGAAGGGAGAGAAAAATAAAATAAGATGAAATTAGAGACAGAGACAAACTATAAGAGACTCTTAACTATGGGGAAAAAACTGAGGGCTGCTGGAGAGGAGGTGGGTGGGGGGATGGGGTAACTCGGTGATGGGCATTAAGGAGGGCACCTGATGTAATGAGCACTGTGTATTATATGCAACAGATGAATAATTGAACTCTACATCTGAAACTAATGGTACACTATATGTTAACTAAATGAATTTAAATAAAATAAGTTAAATA